GAGAAGTCACAGGAATAGTCCAAGCCAGGAGTTCAGGGACTTGTTTTCAGTGAAGCCAGCCCCAAACAAGCTCCAGACTAACCTTCCAGGTTAGTCCACCTGACAGATAATCAGCTGCTCCAAACACAGACATAAACACACTCTGCAACTGAATTAAATTCCCAAGCAGCAAAGTCCCTGAAACACAAACAATCATCTGGCCACGGACCCACACAGGTTGCTTCTGTGCTAAATAACCCTTCCCATGCAGCCCATTAGGGGCAGAGCCTTTTCCCCTCAATCTGACAGATCTCCATCTCTCTGCCTTGCATACCAAAGCCGGTAACTCCTCCCCCTCTTTCTCATTGGCCTGGAGCTCTCCCCAGCTGAGGCATGTTCTGCCAACAGTTGAGGGTCAGCAAAACTGGACGTGCCAGGAATGCTCTCATTGTCCCCCGAGGCCTCTGAGGAAGACGTGGAGGAACCATCGTTCACAGGAGACATCACACAAATGTCTTGCTTAGCAACAGAAATTTTGGGCTCAGTTGAGGACTACCTGTATGTGTTGATACGTTGAAAAGTAGAGCTGAACCAAATGCTACAAATGTTGCCTAAGTATGGGAAGTATGGGAAGAATGCTCTCATTGTTCCCCTTTACCAAGGAGAAATGTTGAAAGGATGAATACACAATTTACAAGGGGATTAGTGTGCCTGGTTACGTGCTCGACTAAAACCTGACTAAAAGTGTTCAAGAGGTGGAAAAATCTGGGAAGGACAGTATAGTTTTATGCCAAACAAGTTTGCGCTCTTCAACAGCTCATTGAGAACATATGAATGCAAAAAAGAACACTTGGTGTATGATGGTTAAACAAAAGAACCAAAATGAATAGATTTAAATTATGGAATGTTTTCCCCAGCTGTGAAGTTGAAATTTGATTGGCAAATGCTAGTAGAATAGAAAAGGAAGGATGGAAGTAAAACACGAATGGGAATAAATAGAATGGTTAATAAACGATTCAGCATTGGCTAGGGAGAAAGACAAGGATATGTGATGTTCCCTTGTTGTTAATCTATTTATGGAAAAATGTATAAGAAACATTTGTAGCAAAATAAGTGTTTTGGTTAGGACACATAAAGATGATGGCAGATTGCTGACTAAGAAGCTGAATAATTTGCAGGGAATGTTAGACTGATGGTGCAAAGTGAAGTATGAATCTGAAAATTAATGTATCAAAGAGTTAGATATGTTAAACAGGGAGAAAGGGTGAAGGATTACGAGCTATACATAAATGACAAAAACTAGAGGAAGTAAATTTGTGTTTACATACCTCAGTAGAATGTTTATTAAAGATAGGAAAATGGACAGAGAATTTTTAAATTATGCCAATGCTGGTAGAAAACTGGTGGGTAGATACCATCTGTTGGGAGAAATGAATGTTGAAAGAGCAAACTTCTGCCCAGTTAGTTCTGTGGAAATGAGACTTGGTTATTCCAGGCAAAACATACAAGCAATTTAAATGCAGCAGGAATTGGTAACGTTAAGAACAGTGAGTGGCAAAGCAAGAAATGAGAGGATCAAGGATGATTGGGTGCTGGTTGAAATGTGAACTAAATGCAAAAGTACACTTAGGTGATTTAGTCCTACAGATAGAATGAAAAAGGCTAGCATGGCAAAACAAATATTCGAAGGAAGACTGAATGGGTTCAAAGGAAGGGGAAGACCAAGAAACTGTAGGTTGAACGGAGTTGACAAAGTCCACAAAAATAAGAGAGTTCAAAGAACAAAAGGCAGTGAATGAATGTAGTTGAAGGAAAAATAGTGTAGTAGTAGTAGTGGAGTAGGCACGTAGTAGTAGTGGAGAGATATAAGAATGGCATTGGTGCAAACTAGATTTAGCTATGTTTCCTATAATTTTTCTTATTTCATCTCTTTATGTTCTTTCTCACTCCTTTTCTGGGCATTGTATAAAGTTGCTTACTTCAGAAAAAAAATAGCATGATGGGCATGTAAGCATGTGCTCCTTGTGCTGTTAGAAGAATTCTCTTTAAATTGTTAAAAATGCGTATACATATCCTTATCTGCCTCAGGGACATGCGTTTTTTCTCTATAGCTCTATATATCTATTCTCTCTCCTTTCTCTTCTAGAGAGCCAACGATCCACAGTTTACAACATTAACATCAACACTATCATTATCATGACAGCCACATTACCCTGGGACACATATATTGGTCTCTATTCATAATTTATCTATATAAATTCATAATTTCTCTGTATAGACAGCCTCAAGCCCAAAGCTATATGACTTATGTGTTGAGTGACTGTGAGACCTGTTCCAAATCTTTAGAAAAAGTAGACCAGCCTGGCTATTTCCATAAGCAAGGATGGGAGAGAAAAGTTTTCTCCTTAAAACCGCTTTTTATATGCTTATCCCTCTTGTATTTCAAGTTGGATTTCAATCCTTAATCTGACTTCCCAATTTCCTATCGTGAGCGTCTTATATTGTTCTTTCTTGTTTGCATTTTGACACCTACATGCTTAAAGGACTTTTACCAAGTCCCAGTATTCTTTTGTGCAATTTATTTTACTGAGACCTGCCTCTCTCTGCCCTGCCTATTGTCAATATATCCAGCAGCTTGCTTATGCCCAAGAAACCCTGCCTCTCTGATCTTTCCACATAACAGGTAGTCCTCAACTTATGACCACAATTGAGTCCAAACTTTTCATTGTTAAGCAAGAGAATTATTATGAGTTTTGCCCCACCTTTCTTGCCACCTTTCTTGTTAAGCGAATTGCTGCAGTTTATTAAATTAGTCACACAGTTATTAATTTGGGTTCCCAATCAACTTTGCTTATCAGAAGGTCGCAAAAGGGGATCACATGACCTCGGGGTGGTGCAACCCTCATAAATACATGTCAGCTGTCAGGCACCTGAATTTTGATCACATGACCATGAAGATGCTGTAGTGAAGGGCTGTCAAACTCCCGGCCTGCAGGCTGGATGCGTCCTGCACTGGCCATGCCTATGCCGGGTTTAGCAAAGGAGAAAAATTTCCAATACATAATATGATGCCACTGTGACGATGTGAGTTTGACACCTCTTAAATGTGAAAAATGGTCATCAATCACTTTTTTCAGTGTTGTTATAACTTTGAATGGTCACCAAATGAATAATTGTAAGCTGAGGACTACTTGTATAGAAAAAGCTGGATCGCAACAGGCTATTTGTCACTGGCAAACAGAAAAAAAAAATCTAATTATGTCCCCTGTTGGGCTACAGTTGCGGGTGTGAGGGCAGAATTTTGATTTGGGACACCCGACATGCCTTCAGTGAATAAGACAAAACATAACATCAAAAGAAACAAACAAAACATGTCCAAAATTGCCCACATCACCTGGAGGCAGGATTCACTTCAAGCTGCAACCGAGTGGTGTCTGTTCACAAATAATAAACAAAGCGTGCATTCTTATTAACAAACAAATGGACAGGCTTGTTATCTTTATTTATTTTAAAAATACATTTCTGAAGAGAAGAATCCTAGAAATGCTAAGAGCATTTTGTTTTATGCTCTGTGGGTAATAGGTGGTCATTAAAAACAGTCTGGCCAAAGTAGCAACTGCACATTGGTGGTTCCAATTTACCCCGAATAAAAAACGGAAGTGTTACAAATAATTAAGGCATTTTTAAAGAAATCACAATGAAAATAAAGCACGGAATTATGAAACAAGGGATTGTTCTACAGTATCCTTCCTCCTGAACAGAGTGGGCAGTCCAGAGATAATACATCACTGCCTATATACCCCTAAGTAGATATGTACCACCATTTTTCTTTTAATGTCCCTATGAAATAAGGGAGTTTAATTTCCAGGGAAACATGCAAGGGAATGCACATCTATGTCATTTTAAACCAAGGCAGTTTATTTCAATGCTGCCTTGCACAGGAGGAGCTTGTTAGCTTTTTCTCTGAGCTATTTTATACTTATTTAAATATTTTATGCTGCTGTCCTGCATGAGAAGATAAAACAAAAATACAGCGGTGGCACATCTTTAAGGTCATTGCTAAAATACAGACATACCCAAGCAACAGCTAAAAAAAAAATCAGAATGGTATCTGCAACCAATAAATCACAAGAAACAACTGTAACTATAGCCAAAGACAAACATAATTAATGCAACACAAACCATTAACCAAAAGGTCAGGTAAACAGGGCAGTCTGCATCTTGCTTGATAATTGTTACAGTCATGTATATAGTTGGCTTAATAATTTCTTTATTGGTTCTAATATTAATTTTCTGCTTGGCAATAGATTACCACCTGTTCATTATTTGAAGGAATGGTTTCGCATTTATCAACTTTTTATATACTTGTGAGATGTACTATAATTGTGAAATGCAATTTTATTTTAATGCATTATAGTATAATGACATATTCTAAGATTAAAGTGTTCATGTCTCACAATACTTTGGGAACTTGTTAAATGGAAATTCTATAATGGATGGCCCAACAGAGGATGCATTGCAGTTAAAAACTATTAAAACATACTTCTTCTAGTGCACCGCTAAACAAAACGAACAATATCATTGTCATACTTAATAATTCATGGTTTTATAGAAAAAACTTTCAAGTTTGTAGGAGTGATACAGAGATTCCCCGTGCCTCCCTCCCAATTATTAGGTGTATTTTTTGAGATTATCTTCTGATTCACATTACATAGTACTGGTGATTTGTCCACCAAACAATATGAGAAACTATTATTATTTTTTAGTTAACCCAATAACTGAAGTTTGCAGGATTCATATTGTCATAACATCTCATCATAGTTTGAAACTGTTTCATTTCATGTTGCATCTGAACAGTAAAATCAATCTTCAGATATAAAATTACCATTATTACCATTATCATCCCATTCAAGGCCTTCACTGCCAATATAGGAATGAACCACTTAGCTTGGTTTTATCATATATTAGAATTTAATATATGAAAAATGTTACTAAATTATCTCATTTTTCTTTGAACTCAGTCAACAGAATATTCAGCCATGACATCACTAGCTGGTGGATTAGATGAAATGAAGGCCAATTTAACAAGCCCTACATCAACAGATATAGGTGCCAGTGTCCCAGGACCACAATCATATCCTATTGTGACAGGTAAGAAACCTAGCTATTTGGGAAAGAATGTATGTCAAAACTGATGCTTGTGATGGTATAGTGCATAAAGTTTGCGATATGAATTTAACAAATGCTAGTTTTTAAAAAGTAAGATGAAACCCATATACTGAAGGCATTCAGAGACCTCTGTAGTTTGTATTCTGAATAGATGTTCTATTATTTCTATGAATACTTGCTTTGTATTTGTGAGATACACCATAGCAACAAAAATAACTTTGTTGTAATTGCAATAGAGATGAACAATTAATGCTCTAGAGACCGTATGCAGGCCAAAGCTTATCAAGGCATCAGAAATTATGCCTTTAATTGTGAAAGCAACTTATTAAGAAACAAAGTTCTCAAAAAGCCTAGCAAGACCAAATTGAAGCACTGACTTCTTTGTGGTTTGACCCACCAGAAAGAATGAAAGAAACATGTCCCTACCTGTAAAAATTCTATCTGAATGGAAGAGGTGCAAGGGACCAATGAGATATCCAAAGGAAAACCCCACCGCTTTTGATGACTCCTTACTGCAATTATTTTGTGGAGCGGTGACTGTATTGCTATATTCTTTCTTTCTTGAGCAACAAGGGACTTGTCGAATGAAGACTTTACTGGTCTGTTTGAACAGAGGCTGTCTGAAGCTCCATTTCATCCTTACCCACTAGGAATGAGGGAAGAATGAAGCCAGCTCCTCTGGCTTGAACTTAGTGGCTGCAGCACTGTGGGAAGAAACATAGGGATATATATGTCCTTGCCTGTCTGTAGAGGTCATTTTGCCTGCCTGGAAGACAGCATGTGAATTGATCCAATGCAGTTTTCTATCTTTGCTGAACAGGAGTGACCTTTTTCTGTAGCTTCCTATTTTAGTACACTGGATGGATTGTATACAAATTCTGTGCAAGAGACTTAGAACTAAATTTGTCCAATGGATATAACTGAGTTTCATGCCATCTTGTTTAAAACAAACAAACATATACCCCACAATTTTCTGCACTGTGCCTATTCTATTCAATCTTCCACTCAGGAAGGGGAAGATTGTTTATCAATACAGCAAGTGTTACTGAGGATTGTTTTTTTGGTTTAATAATTTTTCTTAGTTGTTTATTCTAATTTGCAGTAGCATTTTTAGCTCCTACTGTATTTGATAAATTGTATTTTTACTTTTTAATTATTGATTTTTAAATGTTTGTATTATTAGTTTCTTATTTTATATTGTTTGCAGAACACTGAACATTTATTTTGTAAATGCAGTATTTTATGTCTCCTAATATAATAAAAAGATACAAAAACAAAAAGGTACTGAAATATAAAAAACAAAAAGGAAAAATACATACATAATATCAATTAATAGTATATATTAGATTATGTATTTAAAGAGAAAATGAACTGAATTTCTAAGGAACAAATTATATCTTGACTATACAGAAAATGAAAAATTGGTAGGTTTTCCTTTAATTGATATGAAATCAATTGTCAGAAAGTAAACACAGATCAATATATGAGATTTAAAATCTAGTTTAACAGAGTCATTATGATAAGGAAAATGATTTTAATTGCAATCCAATAGAAATCTAGATTCTTCATACATCGTTAAATTACAAATTTCTGGTATATAGTTCAACATTGCATTAGCTTCTTTATGTTTTCTTTTGTCTTCTCAATATTGAATTGAGAAACTGAATTACATTAAACCAAAATGGAACATCAATGGGACAGGCTCAAAATGTGTATTAAAGTCCTTTCCACTATTTAAATTTCAAATGTTGGCATCTATTCTTTATTAAATTTCTTAATGTTTACTACTCTACAAATATATCTGAAGATCAAGGGGTATACAGACAGAAAAATACATTGTTTAAAACTAACATAATTGATTTACATAAAGTATTACATCTCAGTTTTCTTTCTTTGTTATAATAATCCTGTCAGTTAAAATAATAATAGCTTTAGAATCTTACATATTCCTTCAATGATAACAATAATATAATTTAATGCTTAATTAAAATTTTTAATATTATCAAGCTAATAAATACTAAGAATGTAATAAGGGTGACCAATCATAATAATTATTTAGGAGTTTCAGATGCTGCTAATGCATTCAATTAATCAGTTAATCAAAACATTTTAATTGGATATATTTCCATTAATCAGTTTTCAAGTTCTGCCTGCAATATTGCAAATGCTTTATAAGATTGTTAGAGAATAAGTTTAGCTAAGGTATAAATACCCTGTCTTGGCTACAACACTCGATCCTAGATATCAATTACAAGACTAGAAATAAAAAAAAATTTCTCAACATATTCTAAATATATCTTGCAGTCTTTAATGGCAAATATTTCCTTTCCTAGATAGAGACATATAATAAAAATAGATCCAAACCCCTGCCAAGATACCAAGGGGAACAAATAATAATAAAGATGTGTCCATAAAGGCTTTTGAAATGAATCGTTTATTCAGTTAGATATGAAAATATATGTCAGTGATAAAGGTCTACATCTGAAAATCAAATCTCCCTTCTCTATAAGAAAGTTGTTATTTTGATAAAGAAAATTGGGAAACTTGTCAGATCAATATAAACGTTTTCATATCCTTAAAATACCAAAAACAGATTTAATATCCACATATCTCTAAAAATAGATATTCATTTAATCATTCTTTATTTTTTCCCATAAAAACATTTAATCATTTGTTAATATCAATAATAATTTGTGGTGAACATTTTGAAATACATATCTTTACTGACCTGGAGATCTTCCTAAAAACAATAATTCCAAGATTCTAAAAAGAATTCAAACTTTATATAAGGTCCCAATCTTACAACAGGTACATTAGATCCTATTGGACATATAATAGAATTATTCCACTTAATTGAATACATCGATAACTTACCAAAATGTACTACATCCATCAATTTTGATAGATAATTTCTTTTAAAATAATATAACAGCATATAAAAACAATGTATGCTCGAGATACCCTTCAGCTTTTGAATCAAACAGGTCAGAAGTTCCAAATTTAAATTAAATGTAAAAGGAGACAAGAGAAATTCTAGACAGATTCCACAAAACATTCCAGTGAGTCAACAAATAATTTAATTTGTATTAACTCTGGCTAATGGAACTCAACTCATTAAAAGGTATTTTTCCAATTCAAAAATTCAGGCTTGCAGCTGATATAAATATATGACTTACATGATTTCATAGCAGAACAAAATTTACCTCTGTCTTTCCCTTCTGCCTCTCACCCAATTTGTACAATATTCTACCCAACATGAGCAATGAAGATTTTACTTGCTTTTATGTCATATACCTGGATCTGAAGTAGAAGATAAAGAAGATTTAATTAGCTATGTTTTATGCAGGTTATTTCACTGCATGACAAATGATGACCAAAGGGGTGAATGTTGGGGGAAGGGAACAGAATATCTGTCCAAGTCTGATAATGAGCTAGAAATAGCTCTGTGGACAGGCTTGGAGATATAGTCCTTAGCTTGCATTTGTTGTGATCTGAATGTGTTTATAATTAAAAGAATATTGAATTGTTGAAATCCTTTTGTGATGAAAAGGGTTGAATTTAAATACGTAGAAGTGGAGACTAGTGGTAACTGTATGCATTGCAGACAAGTGGATACATGACACATTCGTGTTAGATCAGAATGAATTGAAAAGAAATGAACAGAAGGTTTAAGTCCTCATAATTTTCATGGTTTATAAATATTGTGAACACATAAGAATAAAAATATCATGTTATGCATAAAAGGAACCAAAAATATATCCAAATAAAATACAGTATATTATGTACGAAATTCATTTATGTAACGCAAGAACTAACCAACTCTGTTCTTCACACCACTGCTTTCTTTCAACCTCTTTTTTTAATTCTTTGACAATACCTTTTTGCTTTTCAGTGAATTCATTATTTTATAGTCACTATTTGCTCATCAGATTTTGCTCCAATGTTCTTTAATAACTGGATGAAACTTACAATATATCAGAACAGAGCAATCAGAGTAGCACTGAAGCTAATATATTATCTCACCTTGATCAACTTTACTGGAAAGCAAGTCATTAAATCATCAACATTATCTAAAGCACTACCTGATTGGTGCTCTGTTCTGTAAGAGATTTTGCACAGGACCCCCATTATACCAGCCTTCCAGGAGAGAAGTGAAGAAGTTTGCTATCAAGAGGTTTCCACTCATACAATAGTTTATTTCTTTCATGAAGATTAGGGCAAGTACGGAGAAGTAGGGTTTTTTTTTTGTTAGAATGATTTTAATTTCTATTGTTGCACTTGTGGTTCTTGCCCCAATCAAAACATTTTTTTGATTTTGGAGGTTCCTAAACGGGGCATATTAAACCTAAATTGGATTATTCTTATATTGTATTATAACTCATTAAGGCATGCTATGATATTGTTGATAGAAGTCCTTGGCAAGGTTTACCTTCATCCCTTGTCTATCATAAAGTATCAGTTGATTTCAGCATTGTAGCTGCCTGTGCTATCAATCAGAGGCAGCTGGATGGTCAGAAGGATTTTCAACTCTTTTTGTCAGTGCTTTTTGAGTTTGAAACAAACTAGCTGGACAAGAGGAGAAATAAACATATGAAAGTTGAAATGTTATGATCAATAATTGGGGGAAAGAAATCAGGAAGCCAAATAGACTGAAGGAGGATAACAGGAGTTGTAGAAGAAAGATGAATGTGTTTGATGAAAAAATAGTTTGCGGAAGTCTTCTAATACAATGGTACCTTGTTACTCAACTGCTTTGAAACATACCACATTTGGTACTGAACACATTTGGAGGTTAGTACTCAAGCTAGAACATGTCGGTGTTGGCTGCCTTGTGATTCACTACATTATTTCTTATGGGAAAAAATTATTTGGTACTCATCATTTTTGGAACTTATTGTGCCTCCTGGAACCAATTAACGATGAGTACCAAGGTACCACTGTATGTTTATGCATCATGTTCAGCTGTGTTTAATAAAGCAACA